AAGCATGTGAACCATCACAAAATCTGAAACTTTACTGGGAAAGGTGGGAATTTATGCCTTCACATAGGTAAAATCCCTCTAAAATTATCAGGTCAGGGTCTGGCTGAGGTGGTGCAAGTTTTGCTTTATAAAAGGGTCTGTGCATTTGAACTGGCATGCAGACCTTGTATATATGGAGGCTAGTTATGCTATAGAAATGTGTGAATGGTGTCCATCTTAGCATCTTATTTCATTTATATTTTTATACAACCCAATTAATCTCTCTTCCATTCCAGGATTTGATTCTTTATACTGGTTTTTACAGCTGCTGTCATCTTAGTTGCTCTTCTTTCTTTTTGTTTCCAATTTTCTCACCTTTCATGTCTTACAGGCTCTACTGACCTAGTTCCCAATATTCCCTGCAATTGCCTTTCTTGGTTTACCATCACTATATAAGAAGATATATGGAAAAATTACAGGGCTGTTGAAAAAATCTATTCTGACTCAAAGATTTTCAAAAGAAAATTTTGTATTTTAGGCTTAATTGCATAAATCTGTTGCTATAAGTAGTAGTAATATTAATTAAGAATGAGTTAGGAATCTTACTTAGAAGATGAATTAAATAAGGTAACTGCTGCATTTAGATGTGGTGATAATCCAGCAGTTTCAGCTTGTTTACTCATGTGTTTGAACACAAGGAGAAGGTGACTTGTGTTTCTTTTATGAGATGGTAAAGTCCAGGTGTTTTTCCCAGGTATCTAGAAGAACATACCAATACACAATAAAAAGGAGCAGAAATGCAGTAAAACTACTGTAAATTCTGTTAAAGAGGAGGTCAGTCCAAAATAATTGGTAGAATTAGGAAAAATCTATTTTGTATAATGATGTAAATACCAAGAGGGATTCTTGTGTATAATGGAAACAGAAACCGTGACTTCTTGTCCATTTCCTTGGGGGTTTTTGAGTTTGGGTTTTTTTTTTGTTTGTTTTTTTTTTTTGTTTTTTTTTTTTTTTTTTTTTTTTTTGTTTTGTTTTGTTTTTTGTTTTTGTTTTGGTTTTTTTGGGGTTTTTTTTGGTGTTTTTTGTTTGGTTGGTTGGTTGGTTGGGGTTTTTTTTCATTGATTTAATAAACAAATAAGTTACAGATCTAGATAATTTTTAGGAGATGTACTGCATGACTAATTTCAGAAATTATTCCATTCCATATAAGGGGAGGGGGTGCTCCTTGCCCTATTTAGCTCAATGAATAATGAACATTAATGTATTACATTGTTTATTGCATTTTTTAGCTTCTGTGTCCAGCACTTGGGCAGACAGGTAGAAACAGTCTAGCTGTATTTTACTGACAGATTTCTCTGGGCATACAGTGTGACTGTTTTGAAGGTACAATTAGAGAAGAGAACTGTTTTACTGTGACACACCTTTTGCTATTTTCATGTGTGGTCTAATAACAGATGAGCACTGTTTACCTGCTTTCCTGGAATAGCAGGTCATGTTTCTCTGCCCAAGGATGTGAAGTGAAATAAGCATTAGAGCAGTGAGCCGGTTTGCTTAGGAAGGTTGGTGATTAGACAAGAAGGTTATGGCAGGATACAGAGCAGTCTGTAGGAAAAATACAGTGGATATAACTATTCTGTTAGGAGAACTAAATTGAAATGGGGACACTACTGTTAACTCAAGTGTAATTACATTTCTTTGTTGTTAAAAATTAAATCCTGGGCAAGAGGAAAGTTTGAGCCTGAAACTGTGTTTTGAAACAAATTTGAGATGATGCCTTTCCAAAACCTTTGGAGGTTGCCAGGATGTAGTGTTCAGGAGGGGGTTGTCTGCTGGACACATTTATTTTCTTTTATTGTCTAACTTTTCTGTGAGTTTATCAGGCAGATTATTTATAAAACATCACCTACTATTAAGTTTTGCTTCTCTCCTGCTGTTTTCTCCACTAAACTGCAGTTTGAGGGAAGGACTCAGCTTCATGTTCTTTCATGTGCAACCTCTGGGTCAGCCTTTCCCTGCTCTTTGGGGCTGGCATTTGAATCTGCATGAAAATCTTTACAGTGCATCACTACCAGCAGCACTGCTGAGCTCAGCCTTGGTCAGGGATGGATCCATCTTGGAGCTGGCTGGCACTGGTTCCACCAGTCATAAGGGAAGCTCCTGGCAGCTTCTCCCAGAAGCCATGCCTGTCACCTGCCCCACTACCAAACCTTGCCACAAAACCCAATACATCCCCTTTTTGCTCTTTTGCATCAGTGGAATGCATCCATTTTGGATACCATTGGTTTACATTAACATTCAGAAATGACTGTGTTAGCTTTTGCTGCATTTCAGACAAATGAAGTTTTAGTATCTCAGCTCAGGCTCTGAATGGGTGTTGTCTTTCTTATATTTGTGGCATTTATCATTATTTCACTACAAATATTCACAGTTTTGGTTTTATGTAGTTCTGTGTTTACCCCAAAAAAGTTATAGAATTGGGTTAAGAATAAAAAGGCTTTCAAAGCATCCTTGTCCTGAAGCAACTCTGCCCGGCATGAATAACAAATGGATTGTTTTTCAGTCAAAGTGAATCAGCTGACATGAGCTTCTGTAGGGTTATATTTCTCCCATCAAGTTATACAAGAATTTAGGTTAACTTGAATCAGTGATTATAGGCTGAATTCACCTCTGAAATTACAGATCATGTTGAACTTTGTGAGAAGATCAAAATGTATGGGATCCTGTGTTAGAGAAGATATATTTTGTCTGTGTTTTGTGCACATTTAGCATGACACTGTGTTGATTATATGATTTCCTAAAGCCACAGTTTAGTTCTTTGGGGTCTATGTAATTTTTTAAAAAATGCAATGTGCAGTAATAATCTGTACTGGTATTTATGGATATTGATTCACAAAAAATCCAGCCTAGATAGAGGTGGATATTTAAATAAGTATCACTCAATTGAAGATTCTGAAGAAATACTTGCAGTTTCATTTTATACATGTTTTTTATTTCTCTTCTATGTCAGTCAAGGGTAAATATGTTTATAATGTTATTATTGTTGTGTCTGTTATAATTAGACCCTGAGCAGGCACACAGTTACAGTTTTTGGATTAAATACTTCTACTAGAAATTGTACCATGGCATAATGAACCATCACTTTTCTTTTTCAACATCTCGTTACTTTCAGTATAAATCTTCTGGAAGGACCATAAATTAATAGGTGGTCTTAAGTAGTTTTTCTTTTTCTCCAATGTGACAATTTAACGGATAATAGGATTTTTTTAAACTTCGTTAAAAAAACTGCTCACTTTAGAAGTGAAAGACTACTTTTTGCTTCTGATAATTAAAGTCCCAAATTTGCTCAGAATAGACTTATCTGAACTTCCCATTGGATGTCCTTCACATTGCTCTGTGCATGTCCTCACTTTCTTGTGTCTTTTTCATCAGTGCAGTGTCTTATTTCTACCCAGTGGCTGAAGGAGCTCCAGTGGAGGCTCTTTCAGAAGTCTGGCCTTATATTTTTTGTTATTTTCTCTCTTGAACATCTGGCAAGTGTGACATTTTAAAGTTCAGTGTTTTCACCAGGGCATTGAGCATTCCCTTAGATATTTTTCTGCAAACTTGTTATTTTTCATCAGCAGGAAGCCCACAAGTGCTGGGAGGTGAGTGCTGATCTTCAGCCTGTTTAGCTTGGCATGAAGCCCACGTGCCAAAGTTTTAGTGTGTGTGCCCTGATGGAGTCTCATTGCTGTGGTGACTGGGATAGCTGCTCCCAGGACTTCCCTGCTGAGAGGCTTGCAAACAGTCCAGGAAAGCAGTGAGGAAAATGAGAGCAACTTGATTCCATGACTTTGGCATTTGTTGTGTGAAAGAGTCCTATGGTAGCATAGGTGATGATGCCTGATTTTAATCTTGAATACCTCTTAGATTTTCTGTGTTACTAAACCAATGGTGGTCATGTTTGCTGGTGGCACCTCTAAGGGAAGGTCATGAGACACCTTTGGAGCCCTCTGGCAGAAGTGCTTCAGGATCCCAGGGTGTGATTTCCAAAAGAGTGTGGTAACAGAGAATATCAGGAGGCCTCAGGAGAAATTAGGAAAGACATTGTGATTGCTGAAAAATTAACACAAGTCACAGCTGTATGATAAAAGCTTTAAAAAGTTTTTTCAAACCATACAAAGTAAACAGAAAACCTAAAAGTGACTCCCCAGTCAGGACTAAAGTAGATGCATTGCATCTAGTGACTGAGGTTCAGTGCTATGGTATTCAGCATTTTAGAATGTTGAGGTTGCTTTAAAATTTATAGTAGTTTCTAAAAAAATCTTGAAAAACTGCTTCATATTCTGCTTCCTGAAAGTGCAAAAGTTCTGCTAAGTACAGTAGGTTTCCTTGTTTTCATGTGTTAATTCTGGTATTCTAAAAGCGTGCAAATGGCATTTGTCTTTGGATTTACAAAAACTCCAGATATTCAGAGTTTGAATTATTTAAACTCCCACAACACATGCACTTTTGCTTTTCAAGCTTGAGTTATAATTTAATTAAAAACTTCTGGTGCATCGCTAGCTATTTAAATATTAAAATGTTCCATGGATCACTTTCGATTATCTACCATCATGAAATTCCTGAAGATGTCAGATTTTTAAGATTCCCAAAGTTGCACTTGGAATTGTCTGTTGATGCAAAGGGGACTGTGATAATTACATACATCCATTAGTATCAGCAGAGGAGATAAACTTTGGGGAGGCTTAATGGGCATGTCTCAGTGACAGCTAGCAAAGAACATTTGGCATGATTAAGGATGGATTTGAATGCACTTGAAAATATACTCTCATTATGGATGCCCAGTGGAAGTTGCACTACAAATGTTAAATTCCCCAGAAGAAGAGTTGTGTGGCAGGGAAGCTTTGAAATCCACTGTGGCCGTCATCCAAATTACTCTCTTCTCTTTGTGTCTTTCCGCTGTCAGATTCACTTTGTGATGCCCAACTTGGCTCCCTGCATCTTTGAAAAGAGACAACCTGTTGGTTTCTGTGTTTCAGATTGTCCGAAGATACATCAAGGACTGGCTTGAAAGGAAGAAGCCTCCATTTGGTGCTATCAGCAGCTCTGTGCTCCTGATGATTATCTACACAACGTTCTGCGATACTTTTGCCAATCCAAATATTGACCTGGATAAATTCAGCTTGATTATAATCGTGTTCATAAGTAAGTTTAGCTCTAAAACTACTCTTTTTTTGTGTGTTTCAGGTCTATAATAAGCTACATGTAGTGGGGGAGCTGTGGGGGTACTGGCATGGTGTTAGAGCTTCTAAAGCATCTAGTAAACCAGATTGCCAAACTTCTTAGGAGCTGGATGCATTTAGGGATCTGAGTAAACGTTTAGAGAGGAATGAACTCTGCTATTTAGGTGTGCCTGAGGTTGCTCTGTGGCCCTTCTTTTCTGAAAGGGCATAGTAGTACTTTATAAGCATTTACTGGCATTCTGGTTCTGGCTTCTTTGTTATTGAACAGCTATAAAATACACAGAGATGTCACATTCCAAACAACAAAAGATTTGGGGTTGAGCTGTTACTCAGAAGCACTGTTATAATTTTTAAACTCTTCTTCCTTAGCATATTATAAACCTAGTTGGGAGTTCGAATGTGATGATCTGTTTCTTTGGATGAGCACATTTCTTAGAATTTCTTTTAGAAGCACTCAAGTCATTCAGCCTTAAATAACATCCACGTAAGAATAGGCTGCTGGTATCCTTGCCACCAGCTGGAAACATGCTTGCAGATCCCTCCCTCCCAGGGAAAGGCAGCGCTGTACAGGCACTTTCTCCTCTCCCAGCAGGGATTTCCCATTTGCTTCAGACTGTCCACAGACAGGAGTTTCAATTTGCATGGAGGAGAGGTAACTACAGTATACTTCAGTATAAATCACATCTCATACTCTAAAACTGTTAGGTTTAAAGAGATCAGGCCGTCACCCACTTTGAGTTGTGTGTCTGCATATGCTTCTGTCTAATAAAAATAATGGATCTTCTACAAATCTGACCTCTACTAAAGCCAATAGGAAATTTACCCCAGCCCTTCATGCATCAGATCTTAATTCTGTCCTAATTATGCCTTTTTTTTTTTTTGATTATGAAACACTATACCTGCATAAAATAGTACATGGAATTATAAATGGTATAATACAAATATTTTATTCTGAAAGCAAAGGAGTAGGAAGCAATGCTATGGAGCTTTATTTGAAATGGAATAAATACTTCTTTGCACTGGCACACAAGAAGGACCTTGCACTTAAATCAGTGCAAATTCGTCAGCAAAAGAGAATGGTACAGAGATTTTCAACTCAATGTGCAGAGAAACTCAGAATGAAGTAATTTTATGGTACTCTGCTGACCCTACTTTGAAAAAACCAAAAAAAGTTTTTTTTTTATTTAAAGAAGACATGTTCTTCCTAGAACTGTTGATGTATAGTGTTTGCTTCTCTTGCCTTGCATGGCCTTTATTTCTCTTCAAGACAACTCTGTATGTGTGCCATGTGGAATGAAATGTACCATTTGCTGTGGAATACACTGAAAATCATATCTGCATTGACAGTGTGTATAGCTGGAATTTCTTAGTAAGAACATTAACATAAGCATTGGAACTACTTGGAACATATTAGACAATTGTTTGAGGTTTTTTTCTGGAATACATGTTGTATTCCAGAAGAAGTTTCTGTATCACCATTGGATGTGTCAGCTGGATGCGTGTATTGTATTACACCAGGAAGGGAAATTAGCATGAGAAGTTTGAGGTGAAACTGAGTTTGTTATTCTGCTGATTAATGTTTTTATGTAATTTTTATGCTAATATTCTAGCCACAGCCAAATATTCACAAGGAAGAATTGGTAGCAACACATGTTTATTGCTTTACAGAATTATGTGTAATAAGGGACTGTTTTTTCCTGTGCATATTAAATTAATATACTTAGTTGGAGAAAAATTATAATTCAGGAACAATGGATTGCTTCTTTAGTTCATGAAGGAGGAATGAAGTGCATGCTGATGTGACATTTATGCATGCTAGGAAATGTATGTAGGAGAATAGAAAATGTCACTGGTAATAGCTAATATCCCTGCCATGTTTCCCAGTTATAAACTGGGGTCAAAATCAAAAACATTGTCTTTACTTGCACTGCCCTATGAGGCATGTCAGCCTTACTGCATTCACAAGTTTTGCAAGGAGTAGGGAGAGGACCCACCCCAGATTCTGCTGCAAATAAAAGCCTTTTCCCCAAAACACACAAACTCAAAAAAAAACCCAAAAAGCCTGTTCAGGTCACAGGGTCTCTCTTTCAGCCCTGTAGGGATTCCTCATGCTCAGGGTTGTTGCTTGGTCTCTGCAGCTACTCATGGAAGCCACTGACTCCTCCTTGTATGTCTGCAGTCCAAGGATGGGCTCTGTGCCCCCCAGAGCCCCTGTGGGTGTCAGCAGAACTGGCAGAGAGAAGAGCTCCCCTTGGGCTGCTCACAACTACCTGCACTTACAGAGCTGACTGAGCTTGAAGGAAATGTCTGACACACACTGCCCAGCCCAGGAATTAGCCTTTGTCTCAGAGAATTCAAACATCTATGATGTTCTTCTCTTTCTCTCCCCATGAATGATCATGGTTAATATAACCAGGGCTGGGAATATTTATTTGGATCATCCTTACACACTGTGCTTTTTCCTGTAAAACAGCAAGTCTAAATGCCCAGCAACCAGAGCATGTCTGACACATTTTATGTTGTCAACCCAACAATCAGAACTTGTGCAAAGAGATGTGCAGCACATGCACTATTTCCTGCCATTCACTGTGTCAAGAAATACTTGATTCAGAGGATCTACCCCAGGAGGAACTTGTGCAGCCATAACATTAATTCTGGCTTCCCTGGATATAATGATCTGTGTTGTTCTTCCAGGCAGTCTTTAAAGGTTGTCTGTCAGTGGGTTTCTCTGGATAGGCTTGATCCAGCCTCCTTTCTGACCTGCAGTACGGGAACAAAAGGCATGGACACAGTAATTACAATTGTGGTTTAATTTTAGCTTGTTTCTCTTTCAGTATTTTCCATTCAGATGAGCTTCATGTTTTTGACTTTCCTCTTCTCCACAAGGTAATTGAATGTGCTGAATCCCAACCTTTGAATAATTCTTTTGTGTGATATCTTTGGTTTGGGTGACAAAGTTTATGCAAATGTGTAAAGGCAGGTTTCTAAATAGGGGTGACCTCATTTTGGTATTTCAAATTGTCCTTACTGCATTTGCTCTGTTAGAGTTTCATAGGCTGAGAGAGCAGGACCTGAATTCTGTCCTTTCATGTGTGTTAATTACAGAGTTGTTAAATCTCAATCAATCACTGCTATACCTCATCCACTGAAAAAAATGGATTTGCACAGATGTCACTGAAGGTATAATTTGCCCTGCAGACATGCTGATGACATATGAGAGAAAGAACTCAGTTTGACTTTTTACATCTCCAGATACATTTGCTGTGCTGGCAATTCACTCCTCTCTATATATGTCAAATTTGCTGCATTTATATGGTGATTCTTAAAAGACAGCTGTCCTGAACTAATGTTTGGTAGAGCTTTTTTTTTTCTTTTTTAAAGTATCAACCAGGAAGGACAATTGTTCATTCTCAAAAAGTAGTACTGTGAGAATGGTGTTAGTCAGTGACTCAGGGCATCACTGGTGCTGGCTGGAGTAGCCACAGTTGCCCTCTCACTTAGGCTTCCTGGAGTATTTGTTTTAGCAGCTCTCTGTTGAAAGGGGAGTGCCACAATACAGCAGATCCAAGCATATGCTTTTTATAAATTATACAATATCCATAAGGGAGGCTCACAAAGAAGGGTACAGTGTCTTAGAACTACTTAGGCTTTTTTTTGGTGCCACAAGAAAATTTGTCTGTGACAAGATCATATCCTAGCCTAAAAGGCATTTTAAAGTAACTTCTGAATTGCTTGACTTAACCTGGGGGGAAGATATGCCCCAACTGTGAAATCTGAAATACCTTAAGCAGTTTAGTATGGTGAATATTTAGAATCTCATAGAATTACTCCTAATTTGGAGCAAAGAGTGATCCATTGGCCAGTCATCTCTCTCTCTCTCTCTCTCTCTCTCTCTCTCTCTCTCTCTTTCTCTCTCTCTCTCTCTTTCTCTCTCTCTCTCTCTCTCTCTCTCTCTCTTTTTTTCTCTCTCTCTCTATATATATATATATAAATAATTTTCCCACCCCTCCTGGCCTCACTCCAGTGTTTAAACCCTTAGATGTTGTTTTTCTCTGAAGTGGAAGCTAACTCCTTAGTGTATATTCAATATATTGTCCAAACTGAGCATTTTGTTACTGCTCCATACTAGAAAAAGAAATAATAGGTCATTTTCTCTTATTTTGTGGAGGCAAATGGCCCCTGCTATGATATTTTTGCATGTTTGACAAAATAAACTTGGCTGAAATAAAGTTATGTTCTACACACCATGTCTTCAAAATTTCTATCCTTCACATGGGAGTGTATTCATTAGAGAGCTTGCCACAACAGAGAAACAATTCTGCTATAAAAAAAAAGTCAAACACTACTGTTCATTTATGGCTGGAATTATTTCTGTCAGTAGACTGATCAAAGTGATGTGAATGTGTATATGGATCCTCAAAGTAATAATTTTGATAGATGCTGTTTTAAGAAGGTTTTTGCTATCACAGGTTATTAAAACTCTTTTGTTTCTTAGGAATAACTCTACTTTCACACCAGCAGACACAGTGGCTATTGTTTTCTGTTCCACACACAAATCCCTCACCCTGGGTAAGTCAGGAGATAAGCTTGTGAGCAAAACAACAGTAACATGTCTTGCTGTGTTGAAAAAAAAAAAAATTGGTTTAGTTGCTGGTTTTTCTGCTTAAATGGTTTTGGGTTTAGTGTGACAAGTACTGCTACCAGTATGATACTAAAAGTAGGATAATATTTTTGCACAGATGAAACTAATACTTCCTACAGGGCAGAGAACACAATTTTCTCAGCTGAGATTTTAGTGGTTGTAGAGTAAGACCACCTGATTTGTGGAAAGCTGTATTTTTCTTTCTGTTCTTATTCTGCTCTGTTGCCTAATCCAATGCTGATAAAATTTCAGGTTTGTTTCTGAAGAGATGGCTAGTTTGACAGTAAAATCTTACCTCTAAAAGCTGGGATGTACCAGTGAAAATCAAAGGACATATATTGTATTCAGAAATCACAAATTGACAATACTCTTTTGCTTAATATAAGCAAAATGTGTGTGATGAATCTGCAGGCACTTTGGATAGCCTTATTTCTTGGCATTCATTTATCAAAACATCGTAGAGATATTTGTCACTTATGACCCCACAGTGATAATAGAATATTCTGATGGATATGCAGAAAATACTGTTAAATCAGAAATTCTTACAGCCATTTGCTGCTGGGTCATCCATTAAGTTCAGTCAGGGATACAACTGGACTGTTTTCAGATTATAAAAACAGATGTTTGGTAAAGCATATATGGTTGAATATCTGACTCTTTTCAAGAGTGTAACTGTGAAAGAGGAGCACAGCTAGTGTCAATGACAAAGGTAAGAGCTCAGCCTGAAACAGGGGAAGAACAAGTTGGGACTTAGATGTTTTCCAAGTCAGTTTGATAGAGCGAAACTCACCTCAGGTTCTTTGCTTCAGCCAGGCCTGTGCTGCAGGACTGTTAGCAAGTGCCTTTGAAAGTCTGTGTGAAGTGGAGGAGTTCCTGGAAGACAAGGAAAAGTCAAACAAAATGTCCCTTTTTACAGTGGAAATGAGGAGGGGACGAGGAATTATAGATCAGTGAGTTTTACCTTCATTTTGTAGAAAACTACTGAATCTAGTCATTAAATTATTTTAACAGTGTAGGAAGAACAAGGAGATGAGTAACAGCCCCATAGCTTTGTCAAATACATAGCATACTAAACTAACCTACCTTCCTTTCACACAGGGTGCTGTGGGTTGCAGGGAGGCAGCAAAAGTTGTGTGGCTTGAGAGTATTGTGGCTTTTGATATTTGCACAATGTTTTGGGCTCCACAGTTCAAAAATTATATGGGCTAATTGGAAAGAAATGAGAAAAGAATGCCATGAATGATCATAGACCTCAAAAACGAGACCCCAGAGGTAGATTGGAGTAGTTGGGATTGTTGAGAGAAGATAACTGAAATACTGCACTGATCTCCAAATGCATAAAAGGTCGATGCAAAGAAGGAAGAAAGTAACCCTGTCACAGTGGACTTTGTAAAGGGAAGGAGTTTGTAACAGTGATGATGATTTCAGCTAACACATTTTTCAGGGAAAATCAGGGAAACCTGTCCTAGTGTAAAATAGTTCAGCTTTGGAATATGTTGCCTATTGATGTCTTCAATCTCCTATCATTGTAGACAAGCCTCAGATGGGAATTAAATAGCTCGAGTTGATCCTGCCTTGGAGCAGAATGTAGATTAAATGACTTTGGTCTTTTTCAGCCAGATGTTCTATGACACTGAGCTTAGACTAATAAAGGTTTGTATTCAGGACAGTTTCTCTTGTATTTGTAGAAAGCAACTGCACACATAAGTCATAACACACTGCTATGCTTTCTGTTTGGAAGTGTGTATGAACTTAGGGCACAACTGTGATACTACAGAAGAAAAGCTGGAGAAGCTGGTTGTGTTTAACAGCACAAATGTGCAAGTTTCCCTTTCTCTCCCCAGAGAGAATAGTCTTATATATGCTCTGTTCATATTTCTGCCAGCTTGCCATGACACTAAGAAAATAAGCACAAAGCCTTTTTAAATATTTAAGTCCTAAAGGGGCTTGCCATCACCCCCCAAAAAATGAGGACTGTTCATTTATTTTACTAGCTCTACCAAGCATCCTTATGCAGCCTGTCTTGACCTGACCCTGTGCACACAGTTGAGTCAGTTCACTTTTCTTCTGCTACTACACTCTCAATTTTTTATGTTATTTTCTTTTTTAGAAGAACTTAGTTTGAAGTTCCTAGCTCCCTTGACCTTTTGGCTCACATTTTCCCAATTCCAAGTTACTGCTCGTATTAGCATAACCTTATGAGCCAGATTTTGTATTCTGCAGCTTTCTTTGCCCAAGTACACTGGCAAAAATACTTTGGCCACCTTGACTTCAAGGACTCCTGCAGCTTTTCCCCAGCCATAAATAACTTTTTTCCCTTAGTCCAGATATCCCATGTTTGAGTGTGCAGGTTGAAGCGAACACACAGATAGTAGAACGTGGTACTGTGGGGCTGTTTCTGAGCTGTGGACTGTTCTGTCTGTCAGCTTTGGGGCAGACTGCTTTCCAGTCATCCTGGGAGAGGAATGGGGAAATGCTCCTTTTGGCAGTCCCCTGGGAGCCTGTCCTCAGTATGCTCGAAATTACCTGCTGGTCTTGTGTGTACCCCTGCTCCATGGGCGTCCAGGTGTGCCTGCTGTGTATCAGATTCCAGCTGGCTGAGTTTGGGACCACTGATATTTTATTCTGTTTGGTGTTAATACCAGTTCCAGATGACATAGAGCTGTATAGAAACAAATGTGTATGAAAATAAGGACTATTGGATTTTACAAACCCAGAGTGTGATGAGGCCTGTGCCTGAGCTGATGATGCAAACAGATCTGTTAACCAGAGCAAGCAGCATTTTTTCCTTCATCGGAGGTGGGAGCAGAGTAGATCTAATTCATTTTTAAGGATTAGCTGTTTCTGAATGACACTTAGATCTTTCCCTGTCCACCCTGGTCTTAGCAAAAACAAGATAAACACAGGCATTTTGGCTTTTACTCTTTTGGTGTTCTGGCACATTTCTGCTTGTCCATAGGTGTTTATTATAAACATGCAACAAGAGAGCTTCTGCTCACTTATATTCCTTCTCCCTCTGTCACTGCAATGCCTGAAAGCACAAACATGGCTCATGCTCTCATTTCACATCTGTTGTGGAGCTCTGCTTTGTTTGTCTTCAAGATTCCAGTGGTAGTGCATAAATGACTCCCCAACACTTGTTCTTTCGCTTTGAAACTGATTTCTCTCAGCTTGGCAGGTGAAACTCCAAATAGGTATGTCTGGCCCATTCCCTGGGGAGCTGAGAATGGCATCAACTAAAGTGGGAGAAGAGCGACAGCTTTAAAGCTTTAGAAGTGGTAATAGGAGAGGCATGAGAAGACTTCTGTAAGTCACTTTCTCCCACACCATATTACGAAACCAGCTAATTCCCATGCAGTGCATGCTCATGAGGCCAACTGCCACTTCCACTGTTGCATCCATGAATAAGTGCTTGCTCTGCACAGAGATGAGTGCTGCTCCCATATGCTGGGTCTTATTTTGTAGACAGAACAGTTGACACACTTTTTGTCTCAAAGATCAGAGTGCAGGGTGTGTTTGTGTAAGGACAAATTACACAGGTTGCCTTTGTGTTCCTTAGCTGGGAGCACAAGCCGATACCTCTGCATAGAGGTGCGTGCTTTGGCGTGGTTTTGAATAAAGGGCATCACACATGCAGAAAAACCAATGTTTATTTGCATTTCACCTAAAGAGTGAAGCAGAATATAAACTTGCAAGGAAGCCAAGATTAATATAGTATCCACCATGGCCTCTGGCATTTTCACCCCCACATTTTTCCCTTTCTCTCCTTCTCCCTGCTCACATATATGCAAGGTACATGTGAGCGCACACATATGCAGACATTTGATGCATGGCTTTTATTAGTGCATTTGCCATTGATTGATTAGTACTTAGTATTAGTACTTCTTCTATTGATTGATTGCAGATGAAGTGACTATTTGACCTTTAATTATGAGCCTTGCTATTGAAAATGACATTGAGCTATGGCTTCACATAATCCATCTGGAAAGCCCGACATGATGCCATTCCCTGGAGTTCATTCAGTGAGAAGAGAAGAGGCCTCAAGGAAGTGCAAAGCTATCACTGTGGCTTATTTTAAAAAATACTGCAGTTGTTGCTTACACTTACACGAATGTTGCAGCCAAATACAGAACATTAATTTATTTTTTTTTCAGTGTGAATTGCTAGTTAGAAGTTACAACTCTGAAAGGAAAATTCAGGATTGTCAAAACACATATATTTGCTTTAATTCTTAGTATTTACTATGTAAAATTATTTTATCAGCAAAAATCAAAGTACTGTTACCTATTTTGGCTACCACAAGTGCAAATATTAATACGGGAGGTATGATGAACGGCAGATTGGTAAAACAAAACAGCAAAAATAGCCCTACCTAATAAGATTGGGGTATTGTTTGTGATGGAGGATGTATTTTTCCTCATTTGGGATTCAGCAACGTAGCAGTTCTGTCACCATGAAACCTTTCAAATAATACAAAGTTTCTAGCCTACCAAATAACTTTCAGGCAAGAATAGAGTTCATTCTAGAAATAAAATCAGGCAAGAATAGAGTTCATTCTAGAAATAAAAGCCAAAACACCAACTTTCTTTTGTCTTGTTTTAATTTAATTCAAATTTATTTTTTAAATACTTAGCCTCTTACTGCTCAAGTGCTTGAGCAATGGCCTGCACTTGAACAATTCTTAAAAGCCTGATGTAGTGCACAAGTGGATTCAGAGGGCAATGTCTGCAAGGGGATCATCCAGGCTGTGGATTAATCAGCCCGTGCCTTCCCTCGAGCTGCCCAGCTGCACAGTGGGACAGAGGGCATCATGCTGACATATAGCTCCAATCTGCTGCCAAGTATCTATAGTTTTTTGTCATGCTTTCTACAGATATCACCTTATAAGATTTTTCAGGATAAATAATATATTGAAATTCTGTACTAA